CTTGTAGAAATAGTTTCAGAAGCCCTTTATTTTCTGTTAGCTTTCTTTTTGGTCTAAGTATATAACATAGTAAATAAAATGTTAAAAACTCTAGTTGACCTATAAATAATAATATTTTCAAGAAAACACATGTATGTAGCTAATAAAAGTTATAAAATATATTGCATAATGTTAGTCGCAAATTTGCTGCTTGCGTAATTGTGCAGTTACTTTCAGAATTCAAATTCAAACTATGACAAATACGGAGATGAATAAAACATGCGAAAATTACTACTAGACAACCAAATTTTTAAATTGACTTTAGAATGTTATATATTACATATTTTGTATCTAAAATTAAAAACTTATGTTTACATTTGGTTTATTGACAAATAACAGACAAAAATAAAAGTAATTTTTGTAAGGAATAATAATTTTTTCATTAATCTATTTGCAAGTAAAAATTAAAAAACAATAACTAATTGACATTGAATCAACCAACCTGAGTGTAATTGATCAGAAGTTAACAAACTTATAAAAATAAGCTCGTTAAGATGATGATTGTTGGCGTCTTGTCCTATGGTTGTCATTAGAAAATTCCGAACTTTTTTCCACCGTTCTTGTTCTTTAAATTGGTTATTTGAGTATAGTAATTTTAAATCAATCGAAAACAAGAATATCAGTGTTAGTAGATCAACATTACACCTTGCTTATAATTTTACTTTAATTTGGAATGAATTAATATAATATGAATTACCAGTTATTTTCCTGATTGAGTTTGAAATCACGAGAATTTGCTCATGTACAAGTGAATGGTTAATTCATAATGAAATAGCAAAAATCTTCTCTTTGAGACAATGTTCATTACAAAGTTACATTTTCAAAGCACAATTCAATAGTAACTCTTGCCTTCCGATGTTGTACAAATTTATATCATTATTGTTGTCTATATTGAAGTAATTTTTGCTAGTTTGGAAACTGAATGATTTTCATAAAGATTGGATAAAACCATTACATTCAATACAAAAGACTAAATACGTTCACTAAACAAAAGAGACAATGTATAAAGAAAAATTCTAAATAGAATAACCTTGAGCACAAACACCTGTTACCAGCAGCAGCAGTAGCGCTGCGACGGCAATAATAAATTACTGTGAATGAGGTCTCAATCTTACGTCCAATTTTCAACTCAATAAACTCTTAAAGATGCTAAGCCAATAGAAAGACTACCGAAAAGGTGGTAGTGACTTTTGCGAATGACAATACTGAACAAGCGTTAATATCCCATCATAATAAGTGTATGGTAGAACTAACACCGCAAACGTTACTAGAAAATAGATGAGCCGCTAGGTCACACATCCGCGAGATTCTATAATTCAAATAATCCATCTGTACAAATGCAATAACTACGTCATATTGGCCATTATTTCATGACATAGCCGATTAAACATTGATATTGTGTTTGTATGTTCAACCACAATAGGAGTAAATTATGAATAGACGAATCTTGGTTAGGTTTATAAATTAATTGAATGTCATAACACAGTTATAAAAAGTTGAAACAAATTTATTCTGAATCAGTGCATGAAGTTTGACAGTCAGGTGTACATACGTAGGTGTACCAGGTTATTTAGGGACATGGCTGGTCAATATATAGACGTTTAATCACCATATTAAGCAAACAACAATGAAAGCCTTGATAGTATGTACGTTACGATTTATGCTAAATATAGGGAGGCCATGGCCAGCACACAGGAATTGGTTGTCAACGGTTTTTGAGTTGATATAGCTATACGGCGCATCAACATGGACAGAATAAGCTCTACTGATTCATAAAAACTATATTAATCTGATGTTTACAATAAATAAGATTTTAGTATTTTTTTAATTTACAAGTAATTTATTTAATCCAGATACACACCAAATTTAATATTTATGAGTCACTTATTGATTAAACAATTAATAATTATAACTCAGCGGTAATAGCCAAAACTAAGAAATAAACTTGAAATATAATTAATTGATCATTGTGAGAGTTAAAACAATACAGAATGTATAATATTGGTATATAATGAATGATTTATAAATTCAAACAAACATTTTATAAATATATCATTAAGAAGACTGTGCTTTCAGATATGTTAGCTTTACACCAACTAAAGTAACAAATAAAAAACCTGTTTTATAGTGTCAATGTAGCCATACATGCATAATTAATAAATCCCAATTAAAAATGGAATAAGCAACAATACTTATACGTACAAAAAATATATAGAGCAAGTTAGACCCGGAGATGGTCTAGAACCCAAAGCAGTAGCTTGGACGAGTCAATGTAGACTACAGGTATATCAGAATCGCTACGGTATTTGAAACCAAAAGATACTAATCCGATGATGAAGTAGTGTATAGAGCCTGGTTCAACACTAATTTTGAGCGTTAATAAGGGTTCACCAGAATTCCTACTAGACGAATATTTTTTTTCTATAGATCCTTCTTCGCTGACAAAGAGAGACGGGGCATATCGATATTTTCAGTGTCTGCAATATGTAGCTCCTAGTATAACTACCGAATTTTTTAAATTAATCAATTACGAACTAAATACAAGATTTTACTGTAACACATACAACTATCTGTAAATCCTCAACTAGCAACTTCTGCAATTTAATCGATGAAATTTTTTAACAATAATTTTCCTCACATCACGCAAATGAGCTTTATAAAATGTAAATAATGGCAAATATTGGTAACTACATATTGCTTATAAAATAAATATATCAAATTGACTCAACTTATCGGTGCACTCAATTTCTGCTTTTACCCCAACAACAGCTTTATCATTCTTTGCTGTAGCAAGAGAGAGGTTCCATTTTTCACATGTTAGTACTTAATTAATAAAATGTTTATAAATTCACAATCTGAATTTTTCAGGTATTATGCTCGTAAAGTAGAACGCGCGATATTACTGTGCTAAATTGAAAGTATATGTAAAAAGAATGTGATTTTGCGTAATTGCTTTAATATACTACTTAAATGCAAGCAATTTTGAAGGTTGTATAACATATTTCAAAATAAGGAAAACTGCAAAATGAGTTTAGTCAGTTGGTAAACCAATGAAAAAATGTGCTGTCGTGATACCGCGGAATCCATTAATCACTGCCTCCGTATTCGTGAAGAAGTTTCACTAATCGAGACTGCTTAGTTATCCTAATCACTTGGATTTAATAACTCCCAGTTTCGATACGACGATAAATTATTTGAATCTCTAAGCAAAAATAATCTTATTCGATCATTCAATTGTGTGAAAATTTGATAAAAGAAGTATGAAAAATCGTATAAGAATATGAATAATGAAGTTTTGATTATTAATTATTTTAGTTGTAAGGTAAGTTTTTCAAAATAATTGGCAGGAAATATCGAGAAAAGATGAAGTTGATAACTTTATATCCCAAAAGCTGGCTCCGCGGCCAGAAACGATTGCATACTTTGAGGTGTTAGCCCACTCGGTCCGAGCGCGGAAGTAATTTATCGATCTGGTCCTTTAACTATCGGCTTTATAAGTAGTGAATTCATAGGACTAAGAGGTAATATAAAAACATCTAAATATAACAGGGTCTATCCATACACATACTGTATCAAGCATCGAAAAATCGTTATTGTTAATTGTATAAACTGCATTTGCAGATGACCCTCAACAATGTTGAATTATATTTGTAGAGGAAGATTCACAGAATAAGATTTCTTCCGATTACGAAAATATTGTATGGATAATAAATTAACACTCAAAGTCAGTAAAAAACGTGAAATTTTTGACCTTAAAATATTTATAACTTTCAAAATATGTAGTTTAAGGAAGAATTACACGAGTCCTTTTTATATTAAAATAGGACATATTTTCTAAAAATAAACAAATTCCCATTTGAACAGAGCGATACTTCAAAATCTATTTGAACTTTAAACAAATGTATACTCATATTGAAAAATCTGATAGTGGATTTGGCTTGAGCGAATTATAATATACAAAAATAATGGGATATTCTCGGAATATTCTCATTGCATACAAGATAATACTTAGCTCTAGGACGAGATATTTGAACTACTAGTAGTGTTTGGCGTGCTTCGGCCGCTCCTTTTTTTCTTTACATTCATTTCAATGCACCAAGATAGATCACATTTTTATTGGAAAAATAGAACATTCGAAAATTCAATATGCATTAGATATTCCTTTGATTTGATATGAGATATGGCCGATGATATTATTTATTGATAAGTAAATATGCAGTTATATATTCATGATTTCAAAATACTATCAATGAAGTTTTAAGTTTTTATCATCCCAAGTTTTGTGTTGAAAAATCGTTATTCAAAAGTTTTAAAAACACGATATAAAATGTATTGTAAAATCTAAAAACATTATAGTTTTCTGTAATCATATCCTTCACGATATAAATAACATACTTCGGTATAGAACGTTCACGGTTGTAATTAGTGCCTTTTTAAACAAATTTTCTAATAATTTACGTCGCTTAATAAAACCGAAACTGTACAATATTTTACCATGATAATCTGTTAATTTATATTTGTTATGGTTAACTTTGTTTATTTATAGTTAAACTTTCGCATAGAGTAAAATTCAATTAATTTCTCTACTGAGGTATTAGTCGATCATTATTTTTTGAAGTTAGTATGGTTAAAGCAATCAATTTATATGAAATTCTTGCTCGCTATAATGATGCACTTTTCAAATATTTGATTATCTACGGAAATTTACGGTAATCTTTCATGAGCGTACACAACATATACCTATATAAAATAGCTCACAACAGCTGATCATGTGACTATCTTTTAGCCAGTCAGCTCACGAATAAACTGGCTTCACTTTGTCAGGTTCTCTTTTTTATGAGAGGATTATAAGAGGATAAGAGGATGAGGAAAATTAAAAATAAAAAAAAAAAAACTAAAACTAAATTTTTTATAAAACTTTTTCCACTCATTTATTTTATCTGAAATTATACATGCGCATATTCTCTAATATCTATAAAACAATATTGACAATGAATTTTTATATTAAACGATTCTTTATAGCACATTCTTTATTGAAAATTGAAAAATGTGATAAAAAGTTATTATCCAAGGATTTTATTCCACAATTTCTAATCCCAATATTAAAGAAAATTTGGTGACGGGATCAAGAAACCATTCCAAATAAAAAAATCAATTAATATTCAGATTTGTTTTTTAAAAGTACAAAACTTGATATCTTATAATCTAACAATTCCATTTGCTTGCACTAATTATAAAATATATAAATTTGCATGATGTAATATAGTTTTCTGAAACATCAGAAAATTTTTTACATCTTTGATAAACACTAACACAATGTTTCAAACATTGAATGATCACATATCTTATTTCATAAACTAATATTTTATACACTTTATTTACATAGAAGCGGCTTCTGGTTAATAATAATGAATTTCTCTAAAAAAAATAATTTTAAGAAAAACCATTGGAAAGCATATATATCAGATTCAAAATGTACATTAACATGAACATTTTGTAACTTACAAGTAGGGGAGACCCGGGCAAGACGGACATGGCCTATTATTTTGGTATTGGTTGAAGCAAATATTATTACAACGTACAGGTATATACTTTATATAATAGTAATAATAATAATTTCAGTATGTGCGCAGTGTTCGCAGCGGTAACATCGAGTCAAAATGATATTGTTTACTTTTGATGTTCGGCTTACGAATTTTGGTATATATATGAAAGTGCATCATTTATTCGGTCTAATAGTTTCAACATATTTAAAACATTACATGATTACAGTATATTTAATTCATTTATACTAACAGTTATATTTAACATATTCGTTATCTTAAATTGTGATTATTTCTTTTTTTATATTATTTATAACATTAAAATTAAAAAATTATTTGGCATATACTGAGAATGACGGTCCCAAACAAGACAAACACTCCCTTACTTAAAATGGTCTATAAATGTAAAAATAGGTTTGAAAAAATTTGAAAACGACTTTCAAAAAAATAAAAACGAAAGGAAATCGCGTCTAATTTATTTATATGTCTATTTTACTCTAAAAATTACAAAGTTTATTTTCTTGAAGGATGTTCGTCTTGCCGATTTTTGAAACGCTTTGAATTTATTATATTAATTTAAATAATTTTTCAGGGCTGTTATTGCACAAATGTATTAGTTGTCATACTTACTTCGCGTTAAAAATATACTAATATAGTTTGTTTTACTTGGTTCCTTTTTATTCAACTCTTCCTTAAAGTATCCGACTTGCCCGAGTTTCCCCTAACAGTAAATAAATAGATCACCGACAGTGATCATTCTGAACATATGCTAGGTTTGGTTGAAATTTAATTGAAAATACTAATTTTTTTGTAATAAACTTTGAATTTTAAGCTAAATTGTAATTTTTTTTGACTATTTTATATATTTTATAATAAATTAACGGAATAGTTACCGCTTTTTATTGATAAATTTACTGCTCTTCAGTAATCTGTGGATTGTGCTGGTGTTGTACTAGTATTTATATGTGTTGTTTTTATAATACAGAAAGACATTTACGTTTCAAACTTATTTAGATATCCAACCGCCTACAACATTTCATATACATGCAAATATTAATAAGTTTTACAGTAATGCAACATATTTGAATGAAAAATATATTTTACCATTCGCTATACGTTCAGGTCTCTTTGAGCAAGAGGTCACATGATCTTCATAAAGATTGCCATCGACAGTCTCGTACTTTTCACAAAAAAGACACTTGAAAATTTCGACGAAATGGCTTGTGGATGGTTTATTATACGCGTCGTTTAAATCTATAGCATATGCATCACATTCAGAAGCATGTGTTTCAATTTGATCAACAGGAAATGATTTTTGACAAATAGGACACAAAGGTTTTTCAATGACTTTGGTAATCGTTGGTTCATCATCATCTCCGTCCTAGAAAAAAGTACGTGTAATTAGTTTGCGTTCTAAAGATTATAACGAACCAATTTTAGTAAGGTGAAAAACTTTTACCAACAACAGATCTTCAGCTATCTCTTCTGGAGTTTTTACCGCTTGAATACTTGACCTCTTAACTTTTGATTTATTACTCAAAAGATTATTATAAAAAGAGCACTGTTTGTCAAATTTTTGTTGATTTTTCAAGCGATAATCTTCTTCGTTTTCCTGTTCTTGCAAACGAAGTTCATTTATTTTGAGTCTTTCTTCTCTTTTTTCAGCTTTTAATTTCTGCTCTTCTGATTCACGAACGTTTTCTAAATGATTTGTTGCTAATTGTAATTTTTTGGTAACCCGTTTCGGCATTGATGGTGGCTTTATTTCCTTAGTAATTTCCACGCAATCGTTGTCATCTATTTGATCATTAATTTCTTGCAATGTTTTAATTATATCTTCATCGCTGACAAATGTTTGTTCTTTTTCGTGTTCTGGATGACTTTGTGTTAGATTGGAATTTTTTTTCTTAGCTCTAGGACCTTTGAAATTCTTTTTAGCAGCATTAGGAGATTCAATTCTTCTTGAATACTCTGTATTTTGCTCATTAGATTTATTATCGATTGAAACTTTTGCCTTTGAATTTTTTCTTATGCTAGGTAAATTTGAATTATCAAATTCTATATCCAGACTATCTTTAGTATCATCAATACTTATCACTTCAGTGGATTTAGATTTATTTTTATTTTTTTGCTTTTCTTGACTTTTTTTAACTACTTCCTCTTCTTTTTTCGCCTCTTGACATTTTTTTTTTTTGGTATTGGAGTACTCATCATTGCTATTTTCAACATTTTCATTAGTAGTAGTTGCAGCAATAGTAGATAAGGCCTTACGTTTAGTAGCGCGCTCATAAGTATTTCTAGCTGACGGCGATGCACTTGTGCTTGTCCCTTGATTGTTGATTGAGTTTTCCTTGGCTGGAACTTTACTCTTTGAAGCCTCCTCAAGATTTATCTAAAGAAAGTTTGAAATGAAGAAATTAGACGTTTGTAAAAATAAAACACACGTTCTATTATTTTTTATGTAAATTAATTTTATTCAAGTTCTTGATTACATTTATAATAAATATAATAACATTTTTACTCAAATCAGTTTTTGATTATAACTTTGTTGTATCTATTACTATATTAATTTATTTACTAAGTTAATTATGTGTCAAATACATGTTAAAACTTTTTCAAATTGTAATTTGAATGTCAAGTACATAATTTGCATGTGCATGCACCAATTATCATAAATATCATCTTTTTACTAAAAATGTTTACAGCTTTATGCTTGTAAATAATAATTTATTTGCCCACATACATGCAATAATTTATAGTTTATTAATACAAATAAAAATTGGTATACTCATATAAAAGAAACAATAAATAAAAGGTAAAATTGTATTGCAGTAGAGTATTTGTATCTAATTATCTCAATGATTCTATATGAATTATAAGATTCTAGACAGGAAATTAAGCCTTCAAGTAATAAAATTAATAGAATTGAAATGGAAACAAATGAAAGCTGCTTTGTTTAAAATTCATTATAAAATAATAATAATAATAATAATAATGATAATAATAATTATGATAATGATGATGATGATGATGATGATGATGATGATGATGATGATAATGATGATGATAAAATTGAAATAATACTTTTAATAGGTGCTAACAAAAAGTTAACAAATAAATATAAGAAAAAAGCAGGATACATAGTATATGAATTAAACTCTCTTTCGTCAAGAATCTACCTAAGATAACTTAGAACACATTTGTAAATCATAGCATGTTTAAGTATAAGAACAAATATCAAACTCTTATTAATGTTATTCTAATTTATAGATTTTTTAACCATAAGGAGGGACTTGCTTAGAGGTACCCACCTTAATGGGTGCTGATTTTTTATCTTTGGCTTCCAGTTCCATCATACACTGATTGTTATATGTACCTAGTTTTTCAATCATCTGTTGACATAATTTATCAAATTCTTCTGACTCTGAATCAACAATTTCACTAATGAAAGATAATGACTCTTCAAAATTACTTTCTGAATGTTGAGGCTGACATAATGGAGCTATATTATTTTCTTGTATAAATTCTAGAGGATTTAACAACCATCTTTCCAAGCTGGCTTTTTTAACAGGTGGTACTGATGATTTCTTACTTTCTTGGGATCGAGTTCTTGGACCATCAGATGTAGTACTCCTAGTGTTATACCTACTAGTTAATGGTGGATAATCTTCATCTTTTTTAAAGTTTGAGTTTTTATTATAAATTGATTCATTAATATGACTATTATCTCCATAAGTTTTTTCAAATGAATTACTAGATGGGGTTTGTAAATTTTTGTTGTTGCTATTTTTTGATTCTTCTTGATCAGAATTCTGAGTTGTAAGTGTACTAGATACAGCATCTTGTCTGTAAGAAAAGCTAGGTAAAGACCTTGTACTATTTTCTTTAATTTTAGTTATATCTTGATTTGATCCAGTTTCACTGAATAATATGGAGTCTATTGTATCTTCCTGAAATGAATGAGTAGATTTTATAAATATGAATAATATTCTTAATATTTGTTCTATAAATGTTTAATAAAATACTTACATTATGTTTCCTAACATCATTTTTTGATTCATTGAGTACATCTATTAGTTGTCTCATTTCTTCAACATCCATATTTTCATAATAGAGGCCAACCTCTGCAAAATATGAAATCTATATTGCATATGATTTTTTAAAACACAATGTGTTTTAAGTATTTTTTTAAATTTATTCAATACGTGGTTAACAAAAGTTACTTGAATTATTTTTAAATATTTTTAGAAAAATTCTTTTACAAATACAAACCTTTTAGTTCATGCCTCATTTCTTCCTCTTCTTGTTCGGCTTTTGTGAGAGAAGCGTCATTCATTAATGAATCCATTTTTAATAATAAATTATTGAAGAACTCTTATATTTCTTGATAACAAAAACTATTTTTACTGCCTGTTAAAATGGCTTTCAAAAAACTTATACTGTCATAACCAACTAAACATCTTTCTTTTGTACGACGTTTTCCGCATTGCTTGCTCGTATTACACGAAGAAACTATAAAATACAGTTATCGTGTGGAAGAGAATTCATTTTGTTACGAAATGATATATCTATTTTGACAAACGATTATTTAATAACCTCTTAACAACTGACTTTCAAAAATCTACAACTCGCAGGAAGAAGGAAACATGTTTTGTACCACTTGCACATATCTTTTTCTTTTGGTTAGAACAACGATGGATGCTTACTATATATATATATATATATATACATATATATATGTATATACGTTGGTTAGAATCACATGGAGACCAAAATTGTCCAATTTGCTTACCATTAGAACACTCTGATAGGTGCATGAACATCGTCGTCGATTCTTTGAAAATTAGTCAAATATCACGTCATGATTTGGCGCCAACTAACACGTGAAAAAACTATTTTACATCGATAGTGATAATTAGAATAACGTAGAATTATGGAACATTTCATTATTCTTTTAAAATAAATATTTTACATTTTGTATTTTTGAGTGAATGAATTTTTGATAAAATTTTACTATGGCTGACGAAAATTTAGTAAAAATGGTTCATAAAACATTTGACATCTATGGACTTACAATAACAAGGTAACTTATTTACGTGCATAATCTTTGAACACCAAGATCGATTCTTTTTTAAAATAAAATATTTCTGTTTTTATAGAAAACTTTCTGCTATAGTAGCAAAGCATCTACAAAGTCGTTCAGAATTAGATCCAAAAGATTGGTTGACTAAAATTGTTGAACAAATTTTGACTCAGAAATTGTCCACTCCACGAGTTGATATTGAACATTTAAGACTTGCTTTGGCAGAATGTCTCAAACCACAAAGTACATTAAAAGAAACAGAAACAACATTGAATGTTATAGATGTTTTTACAGTGCCAAAAGTTGGCTATGACATTGATAAGAAGAAATATATATTACAGAATAATGATTATGATTTATTTTCTGATGCTTCATACAAGTCATTAGTATTTAAAGATCGTCTGGATTTGCTGTGGTACAGGACTCAAAAACATTCTCTTTTTTCTACAACCAAATTCGAAAGATCTGAAGAAAAGAAATCTGAATTGGTTCCGTTAGATTATCTACTCAGTGAGTCCAAAACAAGAAATGTTTGTGTAATGGGTTTGTTAGCTCAGCTCACAGAAGGGCAATATTATTTGGAAGATTATGGTGGTTCAGTGAAACTTAATCTAAAAGATACTATATCCTTTTATACTGAGATTTATTTTTTAATATATTTCTATTTGTAATTGTACGACTTGTATTATGTACTATAGAATGAGTTTTTCTTAACATATAATTACAAGTTCGATTCTCATTTGATTATGGAAGGATCTATAGTTATAGCAAGAGGAAAATATGTTGATGGTTTCTTACATGTTGAAAATATGGATTTCCCACCAGCTGAGCCAAGTGAAAATAGCCGTACAAATTTTAATACAGCCAACACATTTGGCGGTCCTCATCCTACATCATTAAAATTTTCAGAAAAGTTGAGTGCTTATGAAAAGGCAAATAAAAATGATTATTTAATTTTTGTCTCAGAGGTTTGGGTGGACAGTGAAATTGTCTTGAACAAATTTAAAATCTTACTCTCTGGATACTCTGAAAATCCTCCTATTGCAATAGTGTTATGTGGACATTTTTCAAGTTCTCTTTCAAATGTAAATAATTTGATTAAATTAAAAGAAGGATTCAAAAAGCTTGGAGCAATAGTTACAGAATTTCCTTTAATACAACAATATACTATGTTTATTTTTGTACCTGGTCCATATGACTTGTGTGCTCCAAAAATTTTGCCAAGGCCCCCTCTGCCAAAGTATTTGATGGAAGATTTTTTGAAATTTGTACCAAATACTAAACTAGCAACTAATCCCTGTAGAATACAATACTGCACAAAAGAAATTGTTGTATTCAGAGAAAATATGATTTCAAAACTATGTAGAAATACTCTTAGCTATCCAAAACCAACTTTTGATGAAAATGGTTATAGCATAACAGAGTCTGTACATAAAGCTGTAAGAATTTTCTTATCATGTTACTTGAAGTATATTCATACAAATAATTTTAAACATATATTTAATAATTATTTTGTTTCAGTTTGCAAAATCCATAATTCGCCAGTCACATTTGACTCCACTACTATTTTCAGTAATTCCTGTATATTGGAAACATGATCACGCATTACAGTTATATCCAACACCAGATCTTGTTGTTGTTGCTGATGATTTTAAACCGTACGAAACAACATATTATGAATGTAAAGTAATTAATTGTGGGTCATTTGTCAAAAGTAATTTTACATTCATGACCTACTATCCATCTGAAAATGGAGTAGATGAATGCATTTTACCGGAAGATATAATTTAAGTTAAAACACAGTAAAATTTGTAAATAATTCCTTTTATTTTTGTATGAACTTTTAATAATATATTTATTTTTCTGTATAAAACTTTATATGAATCCGCATTTTTATGACTATTATATTTGAATATGAAATAAGCAAATTTTAAAAATGTATTGGCGCAAACTAAACTTTTGTTCATGTTTTAAAAATTTCATAATTATGGTTTAATATTATTTATGGGAATTCAATTTATGAGTATAAATTTTTTCTCGGATATATTTAGTTGCAATCATTTGAAGTAACTTTTGCAAACGTACGAAGATTGAATAGGCAGGAATAGGATATCGAAAGGACTATAGTAAAAGATAGCAAGTATTTGCAGACTTAAAAATAATTTTATCAAAGTTCTGAATATATCGATAGACTTGAAACGATTAGTTTTTAAATAATATATATGTACAATAGCGTGATTTGACTTTTAAAAAACAAGCGCAAAATCAGGAAAAATAATCTTTAGGATACAAACATACTCGGTCAGTTGAATATACATACAAAACTGTTACTTATATGTATAAACCTATAAATAAAAAAAAATTGGAATACAACACATGACAAAAGAAAAGTATTAAAAACCTTTGTTAAGGGTAATTGAACTTTCTATGTTATGTATCACAATTTACTCATGTCGAGGCACTTGAAAAACCCCATACAATTTTGAAAACAATTTTGACTCAATTACATACGAATTTAGTCTAGTGCATTACGCACTCGAAAAGAATGAGAGGAAAGAAAATAAAGACATTATTTCTCAAGTTGTTGCGCAAAATTAAGATCAATGATAAAGAAAAACGTGATTGTTCGAAATGAAAAATAGCAAAAAAAGTTAAAAAAGAAAGAAAGAATAAAAAAATATTAAACTATTGCACATCCGTATTGAGTATGTTGTGATTTTAATTTCATCATTGACAGTACACCAAAATCAATTCCTCCTGATCGCTGCAGGATTCGCCGCGAAGTTTCTTATATCTAGTTAACTCTTAATATATAGTAATACAATTATGTACCAATGTATTTGTCGCGCGCATATGTGTGTAATAAACTATATACAAATACGGAGTGTCGCAATAATAAATTCAGTCGTCGGGCGATCCGTCGGCTTATTGGCGCGTGTTCTCCGTCTCATGAGTTTCCTGATTTCATCTCCTCTGAAAACAACGTAATAAACGTTGAATTACATTTTTGGTTTTGTTTTTGTTCAATCTTCAGCAAGTACATCTAAAAATTACAATTTTGTTTTTTTTTTTCCCAATATCATGTGTCACAATGATCAAAGGAATAAACAAACAATAATGTAATACTCACTGTCTCGTTGGTATCTCCTACAAGCTTCGTTTCTTTCTTCCGCGTCAAAGTACCACAGCGTAATGGCGTATCTAGTTTTGTAGGCGGGTTGCACTTCGTGCGGATTCCTTCGATCGGACCAAAAGAAGAGAATACGATCGAACAGTGGCTCGATGTCTGCCACTTGGTCTTGCCAGCCTTCCGGAAATATCCTGAGCAGACCTCCGTTTTGCTGAAACAAGTATATTATAATTGAAATTCTAGGTTTTCCTGAACTTCGACTAAATTCCGAGCATTCGTTGATTCGTCGATTACCTTGATGTCCCAATCCCTATTCAAGTAGTATATAGCAGTGATACATCTGCCATCTCGGTTTGGATTGTCGACGTGCTTCACGTAATGCGAACCGTAGCCAGGATAACACGCTACCATAGCCTGTAACAGAAAAATATTTTCTTGGTGAAAAAAGGAAGAAAATCGGTCGTGTAATGAAAGAGACGTATTTTTCCGTAGACATAATTATCGAAGTAATTGTTGAACGCTCGTTTTCAAAGAAAATCATTTAGGTTTGGCGCAGAGCAAAAGCTGTTCCAGCGAGTACTTGCTGCATAATCGAACGAGAGTTCGAGACTGGTTGAAACGAAAAGCTATACTCGTATTAAAAAATAGAGCTACACAACAGGTGCCGTACAGCTGCCAAGTTAATGGATGAATTTAGAAAAAAGATTTCAACGCGAAAGCTCGCCTGGCTGGTCTAGTTCTGAGGCAGGCTTCTAGAGGTTTGGCTCGTTACAACAGCGACTATTCATTGATGAAACCGTGACTCTTCCATTCTCTAATTTCGGCAGAAATTTACGAAGCGCTCTTAGTAAACTTTCACGGCGTTCATCACGTAGGCCAACCGCGCGCGAGCCGTGTTACGCGTCGAGAGGCAAAGAGAGCTGGGTTACGCAGCTGCTTTCGTGTAATAGGTGTGCGCAACGCCGCTCTACAGCACGTAGGCCTCTCGTACACAGGAAAGGAGAAAATCAAGACTTTTTTAGGACGCACGTCTGCAGGAAACTTGCTTAGTTTCTTTCGAAGCCGCATGATTTGTGAGTCAGACTTTTAGCGTCTGAGCAGTTCTCTGAATTTCAGGACAGTATGCCACGTTTTTAACACACATTTTTTTCTTTGCTACTTTTCGATTGAGTCGTTATTTCAATGCTTTTGTAATTTGACAAAACTTGCCAATTTATGCAACTTGATGAATTCCATTTTCATAGCCGTTTTAATTCAAACGCAAATTGAATATCAAGCAATGGGCGTCGTCGGTTTTGTATCGTTCCCAAGATTTCCTCCTCCTTCTCTATAACGCAAATAGTTGTCCAATGAAATCATATTTCTATGATAACATTCTAGCTGTTTATGTTTTATTAGGTAACTGTATTCATTAAATATTAAGAGTTTGTCAAGTGTGAACCTCAAACAAACTGTGTACTGTAATTTACGTTATATCTCCATCAATCTTTAGCATGAAAACGTACATCGGGAATGCCATGTCGCATTCATAACGAGCACAAAAAGTTTTTTGCTCAGACACAAGTATCCCGATACCTAGAACGTTTCTGTATACGTGTCCGAATACCGAGATTCACGTTGTCAGGTGCTATACGACTGATTGCTACGTCAAAGAAATCGTTAGAATAGCTATTTTGGAAATATAATACGAATGAAGATTGCATCCATACCGTAGATACATACTGGGCAAGAACAGTGTTCATTTTTGAAATAAAACGATTCTAAAAAGGTTGCAAGCACAGCTGTCAGTGTATTGAAATATTAATAGGTGCTGAGTGTAAAATATCATTTTAATTTCACTCTTAATCAATGTATTTCTGATAAATCTATGGATTAACATTACGTATCTGTTGTCGACGAGTTTCCAATGGGCAGCATTACACAAAAAAAGTATATATTTTGTACGGAAGAGCGTCGTGGCAAATGTCAAAAAAACTAGATTGTCGAGAACGGTACATGCAAGAATTCGAATGCATCGTCTGCAAGATGCATTTATCAATTTCGATCCTGTTAATGATCTTTTCAAAAATATTTCTTGGAAAAAAAAATGTTTTCTTGAATACATTTTGTATGTTTTAAATTACAATCAGCGGCATCTGAATAAATCTATTTTAATGTTAAAAGTTTGCTAATGGTTTCTAATAGAGTTGACAAACAATCACACATGACTAATGAAAACATCAGATACAACTCGTATTCACCAATGCGTGACTCAAGCCCAACATATTCGATTCTCGATAGTATTAATAATTTAACAAGTGAGCAATGTGTAAATCAAGTTGCCGCCATATATCAATCGCGATAAGTTTGTTATGTACGCAGGAGAGAGAGAGAGAGAGAGAGAGAGAGAGAGAGAAAATGAATGAAATCGATGGATTAATGAGTTTTTTCGTTTTGTTTATCCAGTGTCACGTTTCGTCGAGTCCATGCGGCCGGTTGGAAAAAAATAAGTTTCAACACGTAACATTTTTCACTTTTTTATCGAATATAAAGTTCTCGAGACTGTTATGTCGGAAGTTACAACATCATTAACACGTTTTATTATGCTTTTTTCCATCAAGGACTTAATTATGTACAGTTTATAAGATACTAATAAATAAGACATCAATATTGATTGTGCTACGTTTAATAAAAAAAGTTTCTTAATCCGAAAAACATTCGTGATCGTCATATTTTTTAAGCATTAGGACTACCAACTACAATAAATCATTTTTCAAGTCGATCACCCATGACAACACGACCCACTAACCTTCTGAACCATAAAATATTCAGTATTTCCACACAAGAGGCAAAGTCAATTACACATCAAGTTCTCTTTTTCTTTTTTCTTTTTCGGAAGGGCCTTGGGATTCTATCTGTTGCCACACACGCGCGCGTGGTCCTATAAAGACGTGCCGAATGTCACGTAGACTGAGTGCCCTAAACGGGCAATGCCCCAAAAATATTATAACAGTCATGGTCAACAATCTATGCTAATGTCTTAACGAATAGCGCATGATAATAGTTCTCGTGTAACCTTTTTTTACCGCACTTCAATGTCACCTGCGAAGAGGTAATGATAGATTGCGTAAATCTGATATGTTATTAAAAATGGATTAATTATTTCCAATGCGCTGCTCTATGTGTATACACATGTTAAACAGCTGGCTAACACATCGTTTAAAGGTATCTATACATACGTCATAGAAAGTAATAATCGAGCTGCTTTCGTCGTGGCCTACGTGACTATGTCTATCGGATACCTCATTCACTGGATATTACCAATAATCTCGGATAAGGCGGAGCTTTGGGTACACGGGAAACACGACGCCATTGTAACGTATCGTGACAGCGTGTGCACCAAATTGCATGTCGACCAAGTGTATTTTTCAGCTGTTCGATTTATTATCAAGTTGAATTCAAAACTCGAAGTAGACCTTGGCAAATCCCGACTCATCGTGTTTCTACCGACTGAGAAACATTAATAGCATGTAAAAATAAACTGGAAAGAATGATTGAATTTGATTTATCCGGTCGGCCGGAATTTAATAAACGCGTGTATTATCTACTTTGAAATAGATATATACATATAGTAATTTACAAGAGCGCACAAAAAGTCCGTTCCTAATAGATTAAACGCGGCTTGGCAATATGTACTGTCTATATCGTAGCGCGAGCATAGTTACACATGTTTACGAATGAGTAATCCAGTTAAAGAGAGAGACAGAAGCATGCATCTGCGCCTTTTTGTTCTCTCGTTTAATTTTTTGTTATTTATAGTCGACTGGCTCTTTTCTTATTTAAAAGCGAAGGGAAGATTCAGGTTTGGTTTGTTATAACAACAAATAAGAATTGGAAATTCACTTCATTGACGAACGGGCTTTTTTAACTATCATACGCCATTATTGATGATTTTTTTAATGCGTTATAATTTTCCACTGAGCGGATCACTAATAGTTCATGCAACAAACCTGTTAATGAGCAATCAAATTCAAACGAGTTTCAGTTTACTCTAACACATTCATTTTCGAACTATTAAAATCAATACGAACAAAGAAAACAACAATATTTGTACCTAACTATTTATGTACGTGTACATGTAATCTTCATAAAACAATCAGAGTCATGTGCATTGAGAAAAAAAAAAGAAAAGTGAAAAAAATATCTACACGAAATGTGTATTTGTCACCGTGTTAGTTTCTCATGGAATAGTGAAAACAGTTGAGCTGCACGTTGTGGTGAAAGAGGAAAGAGAATAGCGCGGTAGCAGCGCCAGTGGCGTACGTGACTTGCTGCACTGTCTTCTCTCACTGACCTCACAGATATATAGATCGTTTTGGTAGTAAGGAAGGCTAAGGAAAAAGAGATAGCGACTCGATTCGCGGATTTTTCTATTTTTAGCATCCCACTGACTCTCGTGCTTGCCTGTGTATCATCTAAATTAACATTGTATTTTTTTGCTGATGGGATAAATGCTGGATGAGGTTTTTTTTTTAAAATTGTTGATAGGCAGACGACCAATATCATTGCCTATAAAAACCATTTCATCGAAATAAACTGAATGTAATTATTTTAGGCAATCGATAGTTTTATATGTAGCTAGTCAAGAAGCAAAAAAACAGAAGTTAACTAATTTCTCTCAAATGTAAATCGTAATTTTTTATGTAGGCTAAACAAATCAATAGATCTAATTATTATTATTATTAAGAAATTTAGACCGTTATAATTGAAAATCAATTTAAAATCGTCTACTATACATTTGTTAAGTATAAGGACGATTGCTGGCAACGTGCCTCGAAGCAAGCTCTTGAGAGTGAACTTGGCATTTCTTTTTGCAAAATTGTAGGTGATTGTTCACCGCGGGCCATGCGTAAACATTCTTGTTTGCTTGCTCGATTAACACAAGTACAAGATTTACGGGGATGACGCGTAGGAGAAGACATTTACAAAAAAATAAAAGGGGTTTATTTGTTATTGCAACACGATTTTGTTTACAGTATGCTTGATACTAAGGACTTACTTTTTTGTTTAGCTATAAAAATTAAAGAATTAACGTTTTTTTCAGACATAAACAATTAATAAAATGTACATATTGTTCAAATTGACTTGACAGTGATATGTAATATAGAAATGTTATTCTTATTATCTCGGATATAATATACTACTTTCGAATAAAAAGCTAATGATATTCTTTGATGGGCTAAAAATTTATGTGGGAACTGCTAATTTGTAAGTGTATCTTGGTATTTTAATTTAATTTCTATTCATTGATAACATGTGAAATTTAAATACGCGATGTGCTAAGGAAAATCAACGATTATTTTTTATCTTTTGTTACTTTTGTTAATAACAATTTTACTACTGATGAAAAATATTGGTATGAATAAAATACTTTCTCTTTCATTAATACAATTTTTTTGCACTAAACACTCAAAACAATTTTTGAAAGTGTTATAATGATGACAATTCAATTTTTCAAATTAGCAAACTTAAACTTATAATTTACATGTTTATGCTATGGCTTTTGCTTGAAAAATATTTTAATGTGTATATTAAAAAGAAGAAAACTTGATACTATATCAAGTTTAAAAAAATTTTTAAAAAGTATTTTGTATTTTCATAAGATAAAGGCTATTAATTACCTTGGTTCTTCCATTGATTGTATATTCACCCATCTTGCCATTATTACGCATTTTGTTGGCTCTCATTATAATAGCATCTACCTTAGATATTAAATTGCCAATGTTTTGACAGTTTTTCTCTTTGCCATCCAACCATGTGATTTGATCACCTCTGATTGTTTTCAAGTCACTTGCACCAGCCTTATTTGATACTAACTGACCATCTTTGAACATTCCAGCACTGTACATATTCAAAACTTCATCTAGCACTGACAAGCCTTTTTCTGTACCAAGAAAATTATTTACAACGCACACCCCATAGCTATCAAGATCTCTGATTAAATTTCTACAAATGTCATCAATTTCTTCCAAATTGTTTCTGCTTCTTGGCAGTTGCAGCGATGGAAAGAAATCTTCCTCGTGCCTCAATCTAACCTCTGGAAAATTTTTGATTCCATTGTGACATGGTTCTGGCATGTCTAGGCTTGTTTTATTTGATGAATTCTCTAACACTCTAGGTCCCTGAAGAGGATTTAACAATTCTGCTCTGGCTCCCAGGATGGTATCTTCTGAACTACCCTCGTAAGTTATGGGTAGAGTCCACCCGTCTTCTTTATCTTTTGTATGTAAACTGTCTCTGGTATCTCCTCTGTAATTTTGACTATGGAGATTTATATTTTCGTTGTTCCTAGGCTTTCTGCTGTCGCTTTTGTCCTCTACAAGAAAGATGAAAAATCAATATTAGACTTTTCTTTTGTAAAAATTTCTCAACTATGGGTACAAAGTAAAGTTTTGTTTTCAACATCATGTTTAGAATTATTTTCTTTAAATAGTAGGAAATCGTATGTGCGAAAATTTTTTATGAAATTGAATGCAAATAAAAACTTAATGCATTAAGTGAGAACAAGTATCAACACAGGTAAACCTACCCTGGACAAGTGTTTTACTTCTAGTCAGTAGTTGATCCAAATCCTGACTCGGTTTATTATCTGAGGTACAGTCAGAGACACACTGCCTCTTATGTCGCTTCCAGTCAAGCTTCTGATGCTCCTTTGTGCAATAGAATATACTTTTACAACGCGAACACCTAAGTAACCTGTCGCTTTTGCCACAGACTTCGCAACCTTCGACTTTAACAGCGTAACCACCAGTTCGGTTCGTTGGGTGAACTTGTGTACAATTGAGCGGAGTCGTCATATTCAGCGGGCAGAAGAGTCTTCTCTCCTACCTATCACGCTTTTTACGCGCTCCCAACACTTTGGAAGTTAAAGCGACCTCGGCGACATGCCTGTAGCGGCCAAAGTCACATACGCACTCACGGCTGCCGAACTGTGCAGCTGCGCAGCCAACTCTCTTTTATCTCACCGTTATTCCTGATTATTATCATGTAATCCCCTACGTTCAATGTCGAGCGTTTGTTTGTATGTATTTTTTTCGGCGAACAAATGCGTGCGGATCACCTTCACACTTGTCTTCAAATTGTGTTGCTGGACACTGATCTGATTCAACTATCGTGCACTGAGGATGGCACGGCAGCTGACGCGATGACGATTTTTTTCGAAACGTGGAGGGGGAAATTGCATGCGGAAAATATACAATTGCGATGATCTGCGAAAGAGATGGAAACAGAAGATGTGTACAGATATAGATGCGAAGAGCTACCTTTTTTCAGTTGATTTCTGCCAACTCGTGGAAACATACCTCGGCAGTACTCTCTCTTTCTCTCTCTTTCTCGTATGATAGATTTAGTTCTTTTGGGGGCGCCACTTTACGGATGCCTGATTTTTCCTTAAAAGTGCAGCGTGTCAAGGCCATTAAGGGTGTCGTGAATGAGTGAACGCTTGACATTATGTTAGGGACGTGCGTCTTGCCTACAAATAGTGCGTGTTTTATTTTCCCTTATTGTACATGATTTAGAAATAACATTTTCAGTGTTATATTGAATATTTGGCAAGCTGACGATTGTGCATATAACTATTTTACACCGGAATTGTTGTGCACAGGATAATATGACACGATATATCTGTGTATTAATTTTCATATATGTACTGTGCACAATTTACGTGCACAATAGTCGGCTTACCGAATATTTAACCCCTTAAATATGTCTTAAATAGAGTAAAACCACCTCTAAATAAGTTTAAGTTCTTACTTTATAACGTTGATTGCTAAAAATCACGGTTTTTTATAAACCATTTGAATTCAAATTGAAATGTTTAAATATTAATGTTTGACACTTTTCTATAATAAAAAAAATGATTTATTTATGAATTGGAAGTTTTTGCCCTATTTGACAAAAAACTGTTGCGACTCCAAATATAAGATCCGCCAACAAAGCGCCTTATCGCAGTGTATAAATAAAATAAGTGCTGTGGTTTTGCGACTATTTTTTGAACGCTCACCCGTGTAGTTTGGAACTGACAGCAAAAGTTTATTCTTGAAAAACGTAGAAATAAGAATGGACGCTTCGACAAGTGCCTGTGTCAATTATTAAAGTCGGAAATTGGTACCATTAATTAAATTGAATGAAGTGAAAATACGATGTTGATTGCTCTCAGTACTACGTACATCTGATATACTGTATAGCTATATATCGGAAATGGAAAAGATACGGATACTCGCGCAGACAAAATAATCGCGTCTATCGTCTGGCTGCTAGCAGTAACGCGTCGCCACCGTAATATCGTGGCACCGTGCATTGGCAGACCATCACGTCACCCTTTAATGCAGACACGCGACGCGAGACGCAGGCACGGCGGCGACGTGCAGCGGCAACGGCTGTCGCAGTCGTCAGTAAAGAGGTCCACCTACCCTGTATCATTATTGTTCTCAGCAACAACAATCTTGTACGTCACGAAATGCGTTCTTAGAGCCAGAAGTCACTTCTCGGCGATGCTGTTGATCGTGAGACTTTTTTACTGATTTTTGTTAATGAATGACTCATGGGGTTGTCACGTACAATGCAAAAATTTCAGATTTTTTGACACTAAAGTTAGGTTAGCTTTCTTTCTTCAAAGAAAAAGTTGCATGATGCTACATGTATAAATTATTGTTTATATATGCATATACAAATTATTTTTATGCCTCGATTTTTCGAAAAAGAATTTTTTTATTATCCATCTATTTTTGACGTAATTAGGTTCAACAAATCATTTTGATATCTAGTTCTAATTTCTTATCTTTTTTATATGTTTCATAGGTTTTACTTTGAGAAGTTTTGAAAATGTATTGAAATATAATTTCAATAATTTCCTGTTATAAACAAAATTGCTGCATAAATAAACTTATATTATTCAAATAAGCAGCTTTTTTGATATCTAATATTTATTAAAAGCACAGCTGAATCTTGAGATATTAATATGTTTATAAGGTAAGAATTCATTTTCTGTAAATCACTATTGAAGTTTCAAATGTCTAATGTACTATTTACTTTTCAGAAGACTTTCTGAAAATTGAAAACTATTTAAAGCCTTGATTACTTATTAAGTAAATAATTCATATTAAAATGAATATAAAATTTCAAGTTCATTGAAAAAGAAAGGAATTCGTCATGGACAATGATTATGATTATGAGATCTGTAATTTTATTAGAAAGGGAAAATTAGATAAAGTGAAAAAGACTATTGCATTAGTTGGATTATCATATTCAAAAACATGGCAAAGTGGATACATGCTGCTATACTGGTCTCTATGTTATCATCACACAAACATAGCAAAATGGCTTCTTACACAAAATTGTCAAGTCAATCCAGAGAATCAAAGGTTTACACAGAAGACAGTTCTACATTTAGCCATTTGTTTAGGAAAAGTTGAAATTGTCAAGATGCTTTTGAAAAAAGGAGCTTCAGTTACTGTTTGCAATGATCGTTTGGAGACACCTTTACATGTAAGTTGCAAGAAACGAAAGCCAGAGGTATTATTGAAAAATGACATGGTAAACATAATCAAATTGCTTTTAAAACATGGAGCACCAGTAAATGCCAAAGGTGGTTTATGCAATGAAACACCTCTACTGTTTGCTATGAAAAATAAATACCAATGTGAAAAGATTGTAAAATTACTTTTGAGTAATGGAGCAAATGTTAATGATTATGATATGTATCGCAAAACAGCTCTTCATATTGCTGTAGAAAATGGAGATAAAAAGATGATCAAACTTCTTCTTGAGCACAAGGCAGATGTCAATGTCAAAAATTGTAATGGTCACACACCACTGCATATAGCTGTTCGAAGACAAAGTGCCGATATTACCAAAATGCTGTTATTTAGTGGAGCTGATGTAAACGACATGGTTTATGGTTTTGATGAGTACCGTTGGACAGCTTTACATATAGCAGTGAAGAATAAGGATGAAAAGATCATTAAAATGTTGTTAGAATTCAAAGCAAATGTTAATGCTAAAGAAGACCATTACAGAACTCCTTTACACATTGCTTCTGTCAGTCATTGCCCAGAAATAGCAAGAATACTTTTAGCATCTGGAGCTGATGTAAATGATGCTGATAAGCAAGGTCAGATACCATTTCATCTCGCGATTCGAATTGAAGATGAAAAAATGGTTGAATTTTTATTGGAGCATAATGCCAATATTCATGCAAAACGCAAAGATGGCAAAAGTTGTTTGCATTTCGCTGCCGAGAATCGTTCTGCGATTATCGCTAAAATTTTGTTAAATAGAGGCGCTAATATAAACGATAGAACTTTAGACGGTCACACAGTACTTCATTTTGCCGCGAAAAAAGGATCTATGGAATTAGTTGCTTTGTTTTTAAAGTTAGGTATGGACGTCGATGTTAAAACTAATGTTGATAATTTTACGCCGCTGTATTATGCTGTTAAAAAACGTCATTATCAAGTAGCTGAATATTTGTTGTATCATGGAGCTGATCTTAATATTTCTATTAAAGTTTATCAAACTTTGCTTAGACTTGCTGTTTATGATATGAATAAAGATATGGTTGAGTTGCTGTTGAATTGGAATGCAAACATTAATGCAGAAGACAAAGACGACGAAACTCCCTTACTCATAGCCACAGATAGTCCACGTTATGAAGATCTACCAGGATGTGAAAAAATGCATCAAATAACTGATAGCCTTATCATGTATATTGCTAAACAGGTATCTGAGAATAGACATGTGAGTGAACAAAATTTAATTTTGATTGAGCAACAATGGCGCCTACAATTGTTTTTTGAACAATGCTTAATAGAGCTTATTAATATGAAAAGTAAAAAAATGTATGAGAATATATCTTATTATGATATATTGACTAAGAGTACAAATGCAATGGTTTCTTATGCAAGGAATAAAAATATAGCAAGTGCCTTTGAGTCCAGTGATTACACAAATGCCTTCCCAATATATTCTTCAATGATGCAGGAAAACTATGAAAGAGGAAAAGTCAAGAAACAATTACTGGAAGTCGGCATGATTGCCTTGAAATTTCTCTTTAAGAATAACGAAGAATTACAAGTGCCAGTTGAGTTGCCTTATGTAGTTAGTAGAGAAATTCTAAGTTACTTAAATTTAAAGGATTTGAGGATTTTATCTGCAGTTTACCAAAAATCGCCAATTAAGATTAGCAGATGATTAATGCAAACATTTGTAATTTTATATTGATTATTATTATTTCTCTTTAGTTATAATGTAAAAAATCAAACGTTATAAAAGTTTAAAATTTTAGAAAAATTTGTAAGCATTTAGATAAATGTAACTTGAAAAATGAAGTTTATATGTATTGTGATATAAAATTAATTTCTTTCTTACATAAAAAGTTAATTTTTCTAATCATATTTAGGAATAGTACATTACGATATAAGTGCCGGAAAGTAGATTTCCGGTTTGCGTCGTGGTGACGCCCGAGCGAAACGAGGATGAAAAGACACGAGATGAGGAATTTTTTTCCGAACATGTGATGTACCGTATTTTTTTTACGACGTGTGAAAAGTACGATTTTCAACGCACGTTTTTGATCGAGCATGCAGAAAGTACATGCTTTTTGCACAGAGTGTCAGAAATATTATTTTAATATTTTAAGCTCAACTGTGCATAAGGCAAAATATTTCAATTTACTTTTTAAAGTAAGAATGACTGTCAAACCCAATATAACACTATTTTATAAGATTTAAAAAAATTTAACTAATTGTATGATAATCGTTAAATTTGCTGTTATTAGTGTTATTACCATAGATATTACTGCTTTTCTAACACGTATTTATTCACGCGTTATTATACATAAAGCATTATTGAATAAATTAAGAAAAATATATTTTCTGTTGATTATGATAGATGTAAGCTTTGTATAAATGTAAAAATTCTAATTTATTTAACTGTTGTTGACGAAATTAGATAATTTTTAGTATTTTAGAATGCCTATATATTCAACTCAAAAATTTTTGTCTATTTTCTAATGGGTTGCTATAGCAACGCATAGTGCGTTGTGTCAAAACAAAACATGTAGATGATGTATGATCGTAATGTGTAAAGAAAATACAATTGAATATATATTCAAATAATAATGAGTACTTTTATACATAATATACAAATTAAAGATGGCGAATATACTAAAATAATATATATGATGGTAATATTTTTTGAGAACATTTGTAACATAGTACAAAAAAAACTACTTAATTCAAACAATTGTTTATTTTTCTGTAGATCAAAGAGCAGCGATATATCGAAACAATTCATGTATTGACTGTACTTTTTGATTCCTATTCGAACGTAAGCAAATAATATATAACTCTGTTAGAATAATTTGAATAATTTTTCAATATTAATAAATATATTTTTTAATAGTCTCAACCGTGCCTATCTCTCTTAGCCTACTGTTACTTTTATACTCAAGATTTTTTAGCAGCAGCAAGTTGTTACGAGAAGCTGGTACAATTATGTCCTGATGAAGCAATTTATAAGCTTTATCACGCGCAAGCTTTACATCAAGCGTGTCTTTATCAAGAAGCATGGTCTGTCTGCGCAAGTATTGCGAACAATCCAGATTTGGAGATAAAAGTGAAGAAGCTACAAGCTGCTATAAAATACGGACAAGAAGATACCGTAGCGGCAAAAAGCTACGTTGACCAGTGTCCTATGGATGACATTGATACGGAAATTAATTTTGGATGTTTGTTATATCAAGTATGAACAAAAATATTGACGAACATTTTTTTTAGATTCAAGCATTTTTATAATTGTATTATTTGCAGGAAGAAGAATATGAACATGCTTTGAAAAAATTTACGAATGCCCTGCAAATTGCCGGCTTCAAGCCTCATTTATCTTACAATGTTGCACTGTGTTATTATAGATTGAAAGAATATGCAACATCTTTAAAACATATCGGTATTGCAAGATTATTTTATCAAATTGATCATCATAAAAAATGAAGCTAAATTGCTGTTAAATCAAAATTTGCAGCTGACATTATTGAGCAAGGTATAAAAGAACATCCTGAACTTAGTGTTGGATTGACAACAGAGGGTATAGAAGTGAGAAGTGTTGGCAATACATTAACTTTACATGAAACTGCCCTGACAGAAGCTTTTAATTTGAAAGCAGCTATTGAATATCAGTTGAAAAATTGTAATGCTTCATAGTTAATTGCTTAAAAATACTATATTTCAAAAATGTATGAGATATCTTTACATTTTTAAGATGAAGCAGCAAAAGAGGCTTTAACGGATATGCCTCCAAGATCAGAAGAGGAATTGGATGCTGTTACTTTACACAATCAAGCTTTGATTAATATGGATACAAAACCTAGTGAAGGCTTTGAAAAGTTGCAATTTTTATTACAACAAAATCCTTTCCCACCAGAAACATTTGCAAATATATTATTGCTATATTGCAAACACCAATACTATGATATGGCTGCTGATGTATTAGCTGAAAATGTAGATTTGACTTACAAATATTTGAGTCCTGTGAGTAATTTTTGATAAGTAATTTAATAATGTACAAAAATTATACATAATTTAAAATTGAGACACAAACTTTGATAATCTTTATTGTAAATTTAGTGCCTAATTTTCGAATATTTACATTTTTTAGCATGTCTTTTACTTTCATACTCGTTATCACTGTCTGATGAAGAATCACTGTCAGTTAAACTACTTTGCTGCTTTTTCTTTTTCTTTTTTTGCTCTTCTGACCTTTTCTTCTTCTTCTTCTTCTTACGTTTTTCATCTGGTAGATCATTGCTTTCACTATCTGAATCTGCATGTTTGGATTTACTCTTCTTCCTTTTCTTAGATTTTTTTATTTTGTGCTTCTTTTCCTTCTCTTTATTTTTATTATCTGTTTGTGGTTGAGATACCTGAGGAAGAGAAGGAGATTCCTCATCTTCTACTTCTGGTAAGAGTTCATACTTTTTGCCATCAGGCATTGAAAAACAATCTTTAGCAAGATGTCCTGGAGTTTTACATTTGAAGCAAGTTGTTTTGTAAATGGCCTCTAATACAATAGCTTTCCGCTCTTCTCTAGGATTATATTTTTTTCTCTTCTGTTCATCTAATTGAAACTGAACATTATTTGGATCTAAATCTTTGCCAGTCCCTTGGTTTACATATTTCATTGACAGTCCAACTTTACCATCGTCCTGAATAGATATAACTTTACACCAAACTCTTTCACCTATTTCTAAAACATCAGCTACATCATCAACACGAGATGAACTTATCTACAATACATATATAGTTTTTAATTAATTCTATTCTCTGTTGTATCATATTTAAATCATAAAATAGCTTATTATTTACCTGTGATTTATGAATCATACCCTGTTGTTTACATCCCGGTATTCGGACAAATGCTCCGTAATTTTGCACGGAGGCAACTTCCCCCAAAAATATTTGATTCACTTGACAAGCCATTTGTGCAGAAATTGAAATTGAATTGATTTCAAACCATCTTCTATTACGATAAGTTAATCATTGTACACTGACTTTAAAGTAGAGGCTAACATACTAGATGCCGTGAAAATTGGGGTTATGTTTAGAACATACACTATCACATGCAAGTGTAGTGTACGTGTAGTGTGCACCATAAAGAGATGTGCACGCACACGATTTTAGGTCAGGATCGTATCAATCAGCACATGATGTAGCGATTAATCATAGATCGATTAGTGCTTATGTGATGATTATTTCTTTTATATAAATCTTCACAAGTATTTGCATGTAACATCAAATTTTTTTGAAAGTACCAAAGATAATTATTAATTACCTATTAATTAATAATTATTAATTATTAATTTGCTATTTATAATTTATAAAAAATAATATTTGAAAATTCGGAGCGCATTTTTGTTTTCAAACCTTATTTAATTTTTCATTTCAGTATTTGTATGATTTTCTGGATGCATTAATTACTCAACAGACATCTCCGGAAGAGGCGTATAAAAAGTTCGATGATCTTGCTAACAAGCACACGGAAATGTTAAGAAAAGCCACGAAACAGGTGCAAGAGGCACGATTGAATCATGATGAAAGGGCTTTGAAAAAAGCTGTAAATGATTACGACGATGCTTTGGAGCGTTATGTACCGGTGATGATGGCTCAAGCAAAGATCTTTTGGGATTTAGAAAATTATATTCAAGTGGAGAAAATTTTTAAAAAGAGTATCGATTTTTGCAGAGAAAATGAAATTTGGAATTTAAATGTCGCTCACACTGTTTTTATGCAGGAAAATAAATTTAAAGATGCCGTTGGTTTTTACGAACCGATCGTCAAAAGGAAGTTTGATAATGTATGCGTTAAAATAATATGACTTTATTATGTTGAAAGGCAAACTAATTGGTTCCGATTTCAGATTTTAGACGTAAGTGCTATTGTTCTAGCAAATTTGTGTGTGAGTTATATTATGACTAGTCAAAACACCGAGGCAGAACACTTGATGAAGAGAATTGAAAAGGAAGAAGAAGCGATCTCTTCTAACGACCAAGATAAAAAATTATTCCACCTATGCATCGTCAATCTTGTTATCGGAACTCTTTATTGCGCAAAGGGAAATAATTACGAATTTGGAATATCGAGAGTTATGAAAAGCTTGGACCCTTACAATCAAAAGTTAGGAACTGATACTTGGTATTATGCCAAACGGTGTTTTTTGTCACTATTTGAACAATTAGCTAAACAATTAGTAGTATTAAATGACAACACGTTGCAAGATTGTATTCAATTTTTCGAACATTGTGAAGGTAGGATTTGCATTTAAAACTTAATTTCTTATACATTAATAAAATTTCAATTAAATATGGATCTTGATACTATTTTTTTGCTAGTATATGGGCGAGATATACCAACACAATTAGATCCTTTAGTAGAATTGCAAGAAATGGCACCAATGCCTAAAGCGAAGGACACCGTTACTTATGAGGCGAGATATTTAAAAGCATTATTTTTAAAATATCAAATGTCTTGAAAGCTTCAATGCAAATGCATGCTAATGTGAATTGTATATTCAATAAAGCAGAAAATTTTTACAACAAATATTTTATTCTAATTTTCTTTTAATTTCTAGTTGTGTAATTAATTAAAACCAATGTCACATTTTTTCAAACAATATGTTGGGTATTAAAAATAAAATATTAAATTCACACGTAAAAATAATTGTGATATCTCAAATACAACTAAGTGATCGACTCGGGCCTCATTAAGTACGTACGTTCCTGGAAAATATAGATATACGTACTTTCAGCAGTGTCATACTAAATGCTGCTGTGGTCAGAATATAAGAATGACAGTCTTTTTTTTCCTTGTTCGGTTATAACCACAATCGAAAGGTAGGAGTAAATTCTGGGAATTTGCAAACATGTGATTCAAGCATATGGACTCACTCTTGAAATTAAAAAGAATGTATTATACCTTTAGAATCTATTATACCTGGTTTCTCCAATTTTAACCTTAAACTATTTTTATAAAACTACTTAAGTTTAGGTTTGTTTATAATATATTCTTCTTAGTAGATTATATATAGCACATGTTTAATTTTGGTTGATAGTAGATCTAATGTGTGGTTATAGAAATCATATATTCCACAGGCAAATTTAACATTAAAATGCATTGGCTAGTAATATAGTAACTGAACTATTGAAGTAGAATTGATTTTCCTCCTGGAATTTGATATCACATAAGTATTTTGTTTTGTAGAATAAAGCTGGTAGTTCTAAGCAGGGAGTTAATGGATGCCGTGTTAAATACGTTGATAACATCCGTGCTAATGTTAACTTTTAATTCTCTCAAGTCTCTGAACAGACCTGGTCTAAGTTTACAGAATTTGGGGCATTTCCACAACAGTGCTCCAGGATCTCACTCAATTAGTCATCGTATGAGCATGTCATCTTGAAGGATATTCATACGCACCAAATGTACCTTGGTTCTGGTGTGTCCTGATTTAATACGGTTACATATTGCAATTCTCTGTCTGTCCATTCCGCTGCGGTTAAACTATGGTTTATTACTAAAGGCCCCGGCTGGTTCCATGTACTTGGTACCTTTTCCTAGAAGCGTGTATTTTTGGAGCTCTTTATCAGCATTATTTGAGGAACTTACTTTGGTTTGACTTCTTAAGATAGAGGGCGGGATTGTGGCTCGAAATCAAATAGAGTATTATAATATTGACATGCAAAATGATGTCTTGCACTAGTTTTCTAATGTCAGCTATCCATGGGTGGATATTAAACTCTAGTCTCTGCCTCTAAAGGTGCATGATTACTGATTAGGAGTCAATCAGAATGACGGTATCTGAACAGCGATGGTCTATGGGCATCTTCAATACCTGAGCAATGGCGAAAGCCTCAGCGCTATATGCATTGCATTAGGGTATAAATACATCTGCCCTACAGCCCTCTTCGGATCTTGAGCCGTCGGTATAAATGAGCATGTATCCTGAAATCTTAGTGTCCGACTGCAGAGTGAAAAGTTAAATTGAGGCATATTTGAGATTGTTGTTGAGATAATGTCTTTTCCCAAAGAGTTATCTACGTGTGTTATTAAGTGCTTTGTACGATATGGTGTAGACTACATTGTTTGCAACTCTAAGCAATTGAGCGAGGAGTGATTCTTTGATCTTGTGAAATACGTTAAGCACGAATGTTATCTCTTGCTGCTTCAATTGCGTATGGAAAACAATAATGTTAAAAGTTTCAATTTTTGAATGATTCCCCCATTAATAGTTGAGTTTGATCTAATCAACATATTTGACGTTAGTATTCTCTGCAGTTTTGTAATGATGTAAATCCGGGCAGATGATGAAGGATGTTGATGGCAGTTGTCTTCATGCATCCTAAGGGTAGCGTTCTAAACTGAATCTAAACACTGTAAAGTGTTTCGTTTTACATTTGCAAATAAGAAGCAGCCCTAATCCATCCTCGGTGTGATAATAGTTTTATATATATATTCGGGACGGGATGAGCATGGAACGATAAATGATTCGCTTTTATTTGCTCTATTCTGTTGGTTTATTTGGTTCTTGAACAATTCGCAGACTTATTTATTAGTTACAGGATGATTTCTAACTTACAACTAGCGTATTCGAGCGCAGAAGTAAAACTAACGCAACGCGTTAACAGTCACTCACGTGCAATACGCCCCCTCATCCCTGTCCCACTTCTATACCTCTGCTTTTAGCCTACCTGCCTAGGGTACCCTCTGCGCTAACGCTATCCATGCATCGGTGATTCACACAGTCAGGAGATAATCCTTGAGGAATCTGAATGCCAACTGGGGAAATCCTAGGTGGTTTGGCTTCACGGCCACGACAACGCCTGTGCGCTTGCGCTCGTTTTAGCATCAGGAGGACGAAGACAAAGGAAAAGGGACACGATTTTCCTAAGTGGGTTTTCCTAATTTCCTCTTTGTCTCTCGGGTTATGGCAGACATTATAGCTATGCCTGGGCCATATGGTCCTCGCGCGGCCCACAGCTGTCCTTGTCCCTTACAAATTTTTTTTTCTATTACATTTAGGACAATATAGTTAGCAGGGTTTTGGGGTGTAAGCCCCATTCAAAGTCGGTAACACTATTTTACATACCAATGAGCCTCTTAACCGAATCACTTAGCCATTTTATAATCCCACGTGACTCTTAAGTATCGTGGATGTGTACAATTCACGAGTGATCGTAATAGGCGCGCACAATCCCACTTAGTCACGTACACGCTTGATTCGGTGAGGCAGTCACTGTCGCATGCAATGACGCAACCACATGAAGTGGTATCGACCCTAGAGCGGTAAGACTTGCCTCGACAATTCTAATACACTAACTGAGACCCTTGTCGGAAAAGTGTTGCTTGGATCAGTCGGCGTGAGATATTTCCCTCTCTCCGCTAGTCTGTGTAACAAGCGGGAGTGAGAGGGCATGCCGTGGGCCCGTGAAGCGACCGACAGAGAAAACGAGGAAGCGTGGACGGCTATCCTAGCCGGGACGTGCGCGCCGCTCAGCGGGCGGTCGACGGGACCGACGAGCCAACCCAACCCCGTCGTTTATGGGGTGAGCTGTTTATAGCCCAGATACATTCCTTATAGCCGCTTTATGACCTGCCGTTGGCAGGTATAATAAAAAGGCAAAATAAAGGCAAAATAAAATAAAGTGAAAAGCGCGGTGCGTTTTGTACAACGATGTGAGGAACACAGACGTTTCCGATGTCCTGGAGTGTAAATGCCGCGAACAGTAATCATTCCGTAAAACTCTACTGTGATTTTAAACAATGTATAATTTAAGTTTTAGCGTTAATTCATATTTTGATTTTTTTACATAATTTGTAATAGGTGGTTGCATCTAATTTCCTCTCAACATTTCTCTAGGACAAAATTGTAACTTGCCATTCAGCGCATTATTTGTTTTAGTTGGGGAGGAAGGAGCTTGGATCTTCAGCCGCAGAATCAGAAGTTATCCTCTCTTTTGCATGCTCCTCTAAGTCAAAGACTACTTCGGACTCTGGCGTTCGCTCCTCATTTCGTGCGCTTAGTAACGCTTAAGCAGCAACATTATCAACTCTACTTTAATGAACATTCTTCTCTTTCTTAAGGAGGACGTGATTATTTGTCGAGTTCCTTTTTCCTTCCTTCCGAATCATGCCGCAACTGTGGAGCTGCATTCCAACTCGATCAATTTTCGCGCCAAATACCCACACAGTAGTTCATTCTAGCGTCATCTAACGGAACTTCTTAAACTAACCAAGTATGTATGTTATTACATACATGCGGGCCTGCGACCTTCTCAGCATCTAAATTATATTATCTTCGGCATTTTAGCTCGTCCCGCGCACGAGTTGTCGATCAGCACCGCCTACCTCTAAAGCGAGAAACTAATCAACTCGTCGAAAACATCACTTCAAGATTCCGGTCGATTGACCTTCTATTACTATTATATAGCGGTGTCGTTCTATATTCTCTGCTGTGGTGAAACAGTTTCATTTCATTGCATTTGCTATACACGTTCTTGCTTTGTTTTTATTCAAGGAAAAAATGGTGATCGACACGGAGTTAGAAGAAGCAAAAGCGGCTGTTTTACAGCTAATGACGGAAAAAGATAAAATTGAAGCTGACTTGCAAGCCGCGAAAAATGTTTTGGATACTGTTAAGTACTGTTTATTGACTTTGTACCATAGAATCATTGCGTGAAAAATTATATATTTCTCTATTAAAAATACCTCTCATGACATGACATTTTTATTCATTCATATTTCATTTCATTTGTTTATAGAATCGTGTTGGTATGACAGACGAGTTAGTAGATTCCCAAGGTTTTCCTAGAAATGATATTGATGTTTATCAAGTTCGTCATGCTCGTCATAAAATTAATTGTGAGCTTCGAAATATCTGATTATCGAATTTTAGTGAATTACTACAAAATAAAACTTTGACATGATGCATATTTAGGTTTGCAAAATGACCATAAATCTCTGATGCTGAAAATTGAACAAGGTTTGCACAAGATTCACAAGTTTGCTGGACATGTCTCACAAGAATCTCCCTCAACATCTAATCATTTTCAAGAAGTTTTCTTGTTGGAACCATTTTTAAGAGTAAATATTGTTTCACCAGGATCCCCAGCAGAAATAGCGGTAATAATTAAATTACAATTATTATTTAGTACATACACACACATGTTCACACACACACATGCTCACACATGTACACACACACACTTTAGTAATTACATTGTTTGTTATAATTTCATAAAAATATTATTTTAACCTGTGACATGTTAAATAATAACTTTTTTGATTTCACTATGTTTATTAATGAATTAATTATATTTAGGGTATTCAAGTGGATGATCTGATTCTAGAATTTGGTTCAATCTCAAACAGAAATTTTACATCATTGAAAGATATTGGAACTCTTGTGGAAAATAGCAGATACAAGACTGTCTCTTTGAAAATCAAACGTGGATCTAATACTTTTGTATTAAACTTAATTCCTAGACCTTGGAGTGGAAAAGGACTTCTCGGTTGCAACGTTGTGCCCTTGGAGGTTGTAGAGAGATAAGATTTATAAACAGTTTATTAATCACTTAAGATGTTCACATTTATCTGTAAGTCTTTATCAAGAATAAATTATAATTTTTTAAAAACATCTACATTGCACATTATTTTCCAACTATCATCTTTCTAATCCTTAATCTACTGTAAGTCCTTGCCTTAAGACCTTTGAAACTTGAGGTATATTTAGTCCAAAATGAAAATGTATACTAAGTACCTTTGAATAGATGCTACAAGAGAATCTATAAAATGATTTTATTATCTTTCCACATTGTTAGTTACTTTATAAGCTACTGAAAATGAATTCCTTATTAGTTGTAAGTTCATTAAACATTACTATGATTTGAATATTTATTGAAATTAGATACTATATTTATGTTAGAATAATTAGCAGATACAACATCAAAATACTTTTTTAGAATAAGTTTTTTCTACTGTATTAAATATTATTCTAGACGCTGGGAATATCACTTACAATTATCAACTGTAAAGCTGCAATATTTGATTATTCAAATATTACACCTTGGAGAGTAGCTTATGCTGTATATCCTGTATATAATTCTGAACCATGGATTGATGTTTGGAGAAATCAACAACCACCTCAATCATGGATTGAAGTTTGGAAAAATGAAAGATCTTGGGATGTTTTTAATAATGCTGTAAATCTTAAATTTGGTGATGACCACAAAAATGAGAATAATTTAAATACAAAAGTTGCTGGTCTCAATAATCTTCTTCAAAATTCACAACAGCCAGTAAAATCTGTAGAAAATAAGAATTTAAAATCTAAAAAGTCATTGAACTACTCATGGCCTAGAAATGACGTAAGTAATATTAATTAAAATCATTAGAATTATAAATGAAACAATTTACTGTTCTATTACAGAAGGATTGGTCAAAAAATGTGAAAAAAGATCATGCATCAATTTAAATTCTACAAGACAATTATTTAGTGCACATAGAAAATAATTTGGTACAATGTTATATATATTTGTATTCTGGCTTTGTAGTCTGCTTATAGCAAATAAATGTAAATATATAATGAATATAATGATAAATATTATTTCATCCATACGTTTCCACTTACCAAAGCAAATTCAGTAGTATAGATATCACTTTGTTCTTTCTGCTATTTCCCTCGATCGGATCAATGACGTAAACTTGAAATATTTTCATTTTTGCCGCTTTATAATGACACAATTATACAGGAAGTACATGAGATTATTGGACAAATGGCCATTAGACAAAACTAAAGTAGAGTAAGTAACTACAAAAACTTTTCTTGTTCCTCAATTCAAGTTGTTACATTTTCACAATATTACTTCAGTTTTGTAGGTTAGAACACGCGTAAAAACTAGCATACGTTAATATTTATGAATGTTCAAAACAATTTAATCATTAAAAAGTATCTCAAATTATGTAATTTTGATATTCTAGGACATACGTTTTCGTGTAATTAAGTATATTGTAATTTTAGCAATTTATTTATTTTTTGATTTTATAGTAAATGGAATTACGTGAAACTCTATTATATTTAACGAACATATAATTTTAATATTATATAAATAAATTTAGTATATAAACTTCAAAATAATATTATTCCAGTGATCTTAGTCAATATATACGTCAGCAAATAAAAATCACATTTTCCAGAGGAGAAAACAGTAAATTACAAAACCAAGAGTTATGTGAGCAAAACTATCAGAGTCTAGATAAAATAGCATCAAATTATTATGCTAAAAAGTATCCACATAATTTTAAGAAAACTTCAACTGGACTGTCGCAAGAATTATGTTCATTAGCTATGAACCATGAAGTTCAAAAAGCATTACAATTAGAATTAGAAAATTCAGGATTTTTTAGTAAAGTTAAGAATTCAGTGAAGCATATTGTTAATAAATATCGAGATCAATAATAGTACATGTTAAAAGTAGTAAATATTCATTGATTCTTGATTTTAAGAAGTTAACATGAAATTTTTTAAGAGATTACAGCTCCTTAGAGTTAGACAAAGATTGTATACTACTTCAAATGCAAATCAGAACAATTATGAGTGTGATATAGAATTTGCAAATGCACCTCATTTTCCTGTAATGTGGAAAGAAACTCTACATTATCTCAACCTTGCACCAGGAGATACAATGATTGACATGACATTTGGTTCAGGTGGACACTCCAAGAAAATTTTAGATACTGTGCCTGATGTAAAGATTTTTGCTTTAGATCGTGATCCAACTGCAATGAACTTTGCCGAGGATTTAGCTAAAAAGTATCCAGGTCAAGTATTTCCACTACTTGGAAGGTTCTCAGAGCTTCCAAAACTATTAGAAAGTTACCACATAAAAGAAAATAGTATCGATGCTATGCTCTTTGATTTTGGCTGTTCATCAATGCAATACAACACACCAGAAAGAGGCTTTATGATATCAAAAAATGGACCTTTAGATATGAGAATGGATGGAAATAGATCTACAAATTCACCAACAGCAGCAGATGTTCTTGAAAAAGCTAGCGAGAGAGATTTGTACCATATTATTAAGTATTATGGAGAAGAAAAGAGAGCAAGGAAAATAGCAAGAGCACTTTTCGATGCAAGATACATGTTTAGGAGTTTAAAGACAACTCATGAATTAGCCAAATTTATTGAATCATTATTTTCTAGTGAAATAAACACTGATCAGTTGGGAAGATTTCAACATCCAGCTACCAAAACATTTCAAGCATTAAGAATTTTTGTGAATAATGAATTGAATGAAATCAATCATGCTATAGTCATAGCAACAAAATTATTAAAAATCAATGGTCGTTTAATTACAATATCATTTCATTCTTTAGAAGACACTATAGTGAAAAGACATCTGTCTGGTAATGTTAGTGACAGTGTGGCAAATAAACTGCCTTTGAGATACGCAAATTGGGGCAAAGTTTGGCAAAATAAGGAGGATATAGAAGCATTGACATCATCTCCATGGTTAATGTTACACAAACATGTTTTGACTCCATCTGATGAAGAAGTTTACGCAAATCCTCGGTCGCGATCAGCAAAGTTTCGAGTTATTGCTAAAATAAAATAGTTTTTTTCCAATTTTATTTAGTTTTTCATTAAATTGTAGGTAGTAATAAAATAACATGTTAAATTGTAATACGTAATTTTAATGTAACAATACAAAGTAATACAAAAAAAAGAAGTTAAAAACTATGACACTTTATTATAAAAATAATTTTTTGAAATAAAAATGTAATAAGGAATGCTTATGTAAATAAACATGAAGATTTGTAACATCGTCAGTTGAGGCTTTGCATTCTTAAAACAATCCCTCAATTTCATCAGTTTCACTGTTCCAATCCATGTCGTAAATACTTGGTCTTGTTGAGAGGCCAGGCATCATCATGATCTAACGAATAAACAAATTAATGAAATAACTTTAAAAACTAAAAAATACTGAAAATTTTATAATAAAATTCTTGAACTTACATCTCCAACCATTGGTACAACGAATCCAGCCCCTACTGACACAAAGATATCGGTAATGTCCAGTCTAAATCCAGTAGGTGCACCTTTAACGTTGGCATCTCCAGTCAGAGAATTCGAAGTCTTAGCCATACACAGAGGGAGTTTGTTATAACCCAACTTATTGTATTCTTTGATTTTCAATTTAACCTAACAGAATATCAATTAAATAGTATCGAATTAAAAATGTTAAGAATTATTCCTGTTGTATAATAATAACAAGTATTTACTTGATCAGCTAAAACGACTTCTCCAGCTCCGTACATTTCTTTGGCGACAGTATTGATTTTATCCTCGATGCTTAAGTTGAGATCGTAGAGAAACTTAAAATTATTTGGTTTGGAAGTTGCTGCAATGACGGCATCTGCAAGCTCTAAAGCTCCCTTACCACCATCAGCCCAGTGAGTACAGACAATTGCGTCAGTTGCTCCATTTTCCAAACAAGCTTTCTTCACGAATTGTAATTCTGCTTGCGTGTCGGTCCTGGCAAAAAAATAGTACTTACGATAACTTAAGAAGAATCTCTAAAATGAGAAGCACTTACTGATGAGCATTAATAGCAACAACGACAGGAATTCCAAATTTGGTACCATTACTGATATGTTTGATCAAGTTGGGGAGACCTTTCTGCACAAGTTCCAAATTTTCCTCGATGTATTCCTTTTTGAGTGGCGCACCAGGTGTGACAGCTGGTCCACCACCGTGCATCTTGAGTGCGCGAATGGTGGCGACGAGAACGACGGCATTAGGCACAAGGCCAGACACGCGACACTTGATATCGAAAAACTTCTCCATGCCGATATCCGAGCCGAATCCTGCTTCGGTCACGACTATACCGTCGGGTCCGACCAGCTTCAACGCGATCGCGTCTGCGATTATGGATGAGCAGCCGTGTGCGATGTTGGCGAAAGGACCCGTGTGTACTAGCACTGGTGTACCCTCGATACTCTGCATCAGAGTTGGTTCGATCGCGTCCTTCAACAATATCGCCATAGCTCCTGTCATTCCCTGCAAATCATAATGAAATGTGATTTTAAATTAGACAAAAGTATACTCTTTCGTTTTATCATGTACGTCACCATTGATTAAGTGAAATACTTACAAAGTCATCGGCAGTGAGAGGTTCCCCATGTTTATTAAATGCAACAACCATGTTCGCAAGTCGAGTCTTCATGTCTTCAACGCTCGTCGCTAATGCGAGAATGGCCATGACCTCTGAGCCGACGGAAATTTTGAAGGAAGTTTCGCGCGTTTTGCCCTTCTCGGTGGCGCTCTGACCAATTGTGATTTTTCGGAGGTAACGGTCGTTGATGTCAACCACTTGTAATCGAATAATTTTACTGATTCTCTATGACCTATTGCGAAATTCGGAATTTTCATAAATACCTCTGGTGAAGGGAATGTTATTAGGGTCAATGTCTAGTCTGGTGAATTTGCGCTGTTCCTCCTCGGTCAACGAGGCAGGTTCGGTTTTGTTGATTCCAAGTCTCTGCAAACGTCTCAATTGAATTTTAGAAAACTTCCTGACACCCTTGATGGTCGGTACGAGTCTGTCATAGAGTGCCTTGTCTGCTTGAGTTTCTTCGTGAAAATAGCGGGCATCGATTTGTGCGGCCATCAAGTTGTTGGCAGCTGTGACCGCGTGGATATCGCCGGTAAGGTGGAGATTAAACTCTTCCATGGGAATGACCTGCGATTGTTACATATCCAGTTTTAAACATTTTTTTCACGAAACAATTGAATCGTAGTGAAAGAATTTACCTGTGCGTAACCACCTCCAGCAGCGCCACCCTTAACACCGAAAGTCGGCCCCTGACTCGGCTGCCTCAATGTTGCAAACGAATTCTTGCCTTTGTGTCCTGTAAGTGCCTGCACGAGACCCAAGCTCGTAGTACTCTTACCCTCTCCCAACGGAGTCGGTGTGATACCAGCGACCACGACGTATTTGCCATTCGTTTGGTGCTGGAGCCTCTTGATCACGCTTAGGCCGACTTTAGCTTTCTTGCTTCCGTAAGGACTCAGCTCAACAGGGAGTATACTAATTTCTTCGGCAAGTTGAACGATGTGTTTTGGCTCGTGGGCACGTGATATGGCAATGTCGCTTGGTACTGGTCTCTCGATTTTTAAGCTGAGTACACGAAGCTTCCATTCGTTGTTGAGCAGACGTTCAGCAGCGCGTTGCGCCGAAATCACTGTGTTCTTCATCAGCATGGCTACTGTCATAGGACCAACACCACCGGGTACTGGAGTTATGTATGAGGCCACCTTCGATGCCTCCTCGTATGCTACGTCGCCAACAAGACGCTGGCCAGACTTCTTTGTTGGATCTACGAAGAGGACAGAAAAAACAAATGACGCTGAACAGGTGGTTCTGATTGTTAAGTGCAACAAGTCTCAACGGTTTATTGATTGAATGTCTTGAGTGATAGGTTGTATTAAATCATTGAATGAAACTGTAAGACAACACGAGGTAGGATACTTCTGTTCGTGTTTAACTGCCCACTCCCCAATTTTTCGCGCGGCTCTTTGATAAAACGGAACCTTCCGCTGGATCTTCAAATTTGTCGCTATCTTAAATTCGATTTCTTACTGATATATCAGTAGCTTTGCCAACTGATAGCTTTTATAGACTAGAATGTCGGAATTTACTATAAAATAAAAATAAAATATATAATTGCTACCTTTGTTCAGTTGACTGGCAGAGTCTCCTAATACATTCAATTTAATAACTGAACAAATTGCTAATTACATTGATGAAACGGAGTCGGCTCGAGTTAGTTTATAACAACAAAACATTAATAAAGGTACGCGAGAGACGGACGTAAGAAGCTCGAATGACACCGAATGAGCGTCGAAAGCAGCAGGCGATACTCATAATTTTTCTGATGGATATTACATGCGATACAGTATTTCGTAATGGATTAGAGTAGTTGATAACTTTTTGTTTGTCAGTGCGATAATAACAAGTTTGTCAAGTCAAGTCCAGACTTTCCTTTTTATCAAAGTTAGACCTCTGTTTTCGATGATTTGTTGTTAAAATGAACTTAATGGGAGGCATTACGCGTTTGTAAACAAAAACTTTGGAGTTGCATAAGATTTAATTTTATAAATATACCCAACTTTAATAATAATTGTGAGAACGTGAACGTAATCAGAAAATTACCTGGAATAGCGTTGATTCCGCAATCGATTACAACTGCTCCAGGTTTGATCCACGATCCTTTGACCATCTCTGGTTGGCCAATACCCACTACCAAAATATCGGCTTTTGATATCTGTGAATGGAAACAAAATATTTCGACATTAGATAAAAACATTGTTATAATAATAGTTTATAAGATATAATAAAAACTCACGACAGCAGGAAGATCCTTGGTTTTCGAATGGCACACCGTGACAGTAGCATTGTGCCATTTCAACAATTCGGCAACTGGTGTACCTACAATTTTACTTCTGCCGAGAACAACTGCTTGAGCTCCTGCAATTGTCACTTCACTCCTAAAATAAACGAACAATTTTGTTAAAAAAGGTTATAATTTTTTAGAATAGATATAAAACAGTATAATAATTTATTTACTTTTTTATGAGTTCGATGCAGCCATTTGGAGTACAGGGCAAAAATCCAGACATATCGCCAACGGCAACGCGGCCCTCGTTGATCGTATTTAATCTGCAGATTAAAGATAAAATTGCAATATATAGTAATTGATGTAACGGGTTGAATTGGGTTTATCTCGCTTTATAACATTACAGTGAAATTTATGAATTACAGGCATTTTGGCCTATTTTAATTTCGAACTTTGTTACGTGTACATGTATTTAGCTTGTTGACGTTTACGTCATTACAAAACAGTAATCTGTTATGGTATCGCTCGTCATCGTAAAGTCAAAGGCCATCAAACGTATTCAAAGCCAAAATGTTGCTTCATTATAAATATCAGCTTAACTTTTCGTCAACAAAACATTTAAGTCATTAATGATTTGAAATTAATTTTTCACCACTCATTGCTACTATCTAAAAAAATTACTAGCTGAAATGCTCTACTTGAATGAAAATTTTAATAACAGACAAAAATTGAAAATAAAATTTTACTGACCCATCGACATCTTTGGCTGGTGAAACAGCATCTGTAATAAGATGCGAGTCAATTTTGTTGACAGTATCCAAGGGCATTTGGACGATGATGCCATGAGTATTTGGATCATTGTTAAGTTTGTCGAGTTTACTGAGTAGTTCGTACTCGGTGGTGGTATTGGGCAGTTTAATGTGAGTAGCTTTGATGCCAATCTCGCTGGCTGCCTTGATCTTCATACGAATGTACACGTTTGAATCCTCTCGACCACCAACCTGTACGATTGCAAGTCCGGGTTTATAACCAGGTAGTTTTTGCTGGATTACTGCCACATCTTTTGTCAGGGCATTGCGAATTTCTCTGGAAAGTTCGTTAATTATTGACAATAACAATATTTATTACTAATCCAGACTTGTCTTTTAAATTTCATTGAAAAGTGTGATACACAGAATCGAATCTTGAGAACAAATATTATTTTTACGTATAACTGGATAATTTATTACGTAAGAATATTGAAATAGTACAAAATAAAGATTATCTTGTGTTTCCTCTTAGTGATTTGTTAAAAAGTAAACAACTGTTTGATAAGCGTGCTATAGGTGTGTCCTAAGTCACAAAAATAAATTTTGCAATAATACATTTAGAGAATATAATCTCTTACAGGCGAAGCGATAATATACAATTTAATAAAACTTTCCTGAATAAAATATAACAAAATATAAAGTGAAAAATCGAATAGGTATATTAATGAACGTAACTACAAGATTAAATTAAACTGTAGAGATTTCATACCACCGCGCAATATATGAAATGAGAACCATTAGCACGACCTTGCTGCTAACTACCAGCTGTCGGCAAAGTATGTGTTCCTTACATAATTCAAAAAAAAAATCAATACGAACCACACTAAATGTGATCGTATCTAATTATATAACACTAAACAAAAGATATACTTACTTGGATAGGTCGGTGCCCGAGAGCACGACGCCGCGAAGGTCAGTAGCCATGAATCTGCCGAGGAATCTGTAAAATGAGTCACAGTACTATAAAATTGCAGCAGGTGGTATGTATACTCTGCAAGCGGGTCTCTCGTGAGTGAGAAATAAAAACACTTGTCGATGCAAGCGGATAAAATTATTCATTAAGAGCGTATTAGATTCGTGATGGAGACGCGAAGGCCAACTGAAGCCGGTTCATGCAACGCATCACATGGTCTCCAAAGCAACAAGTCTTTTATCTCGCTGTCTTTCTCTTTCGCAGGCACGTGTGTGTGAGAAAGTATACACACACGCATACGTACACACACACACATACACACGCACACACACATATATATTCAGTGCAGAGCCAGAGAAGTGAACATAGCAAGCAGCCAGTCGACATTTCCCCTCTCTTCGAAATTTCTATGGGATATATCGTTCTGCTACTCCACTAAATAGAGGTTCTCAGACAATTTTTGGAGGTCTCAGGCGTTTGACGAGATTTCTTTTTAGCATCGTGATGGATTTGTAGGCCTACTAATTGGAACGTTAGGATGTTTGCGGCGAGTGAATGAAAATAAAACGAATGACGTCGAGCGATTTCTCGCTCCGTTTGTTTTTCATTCCCGAAATTACGATAGATATGTTATAAAATCGATTATCGTTTCTTTATAATGATAGTCTTGACTTTTATAGCATTTTTTGATCGTAAAGAGCCTAAAAAATTATATATAAAAGACTAGTACGTTTACTTATGATGCCAAATTATATTTATGAGTAAGCAAATATATAAATATAAATTAGGACATATAACGTGCAATAACTTAAACATTTTTTTAAATTGATTAAGTACGCTCCTGATAAAAACTATTCAATTAATTCTTGCTTTGAAGATCAGTTTCTTTAGTTTTTCATTAGTGTTTCATTGTTTTTTACGTAATACAATACAAATATTAGAATTTACCGAGTCAACAAGAAAATAGTTTAACCAAGCAGTACAGTGAGTTTTTCTTACTTGCCGAATTTCGTTAATTTGTACATGTATACGATTGCACTGACCTATCTACTAAAACTTATTCTCGTAGACTGCACTTTCGACCCAGTACTACATATCCTATCTAAACTATTCAAATCTGTTTATCATGACGGTGCATATATAATCGACTAACTTTGGCCGAGATAAACAACGTAATATATTTGCGATGTGTTGAAAAATATTAGCTAACATTAAAAAGTCGGGTACATGCATATAACACCAATGAAAAATTAATATATGAATTATTATGGGAATGCTTAGATTGTATATTGACTCCGGCGCAAAAAAAAACATGCTATAATGAGTGAATAATACATTTTACATTGTGTATTTTTGTTGTTTCGTTAAAAATACTCATGAACATTCTTCATAAATTTAACCAATTTAAGATTCTGATAATTAATTTCTGTGTCATATCTCTTAATATATAATATACAAAAGAGAAAATTGTATTTTTCTTCATGGTATTCTACTCACGTTCTCTCTTTTAACCAAATTTCAAAATAATGTTATTAATTTTAGTATCACGGATGGTTATATAATTATTGATTTGTACTGATAATTTCAAAATATTTAACCTTTTATGTTTTTAAAAGAATTTATAAATGACACAGCTCCATTCTTGCAGATTATCAACCATACTAATCATATTCATAAATTGAATTTACTGTTCAAATATAAATCTCACACTCCAACACACACACACACACACACACACATACTCCAATTACGAAAATAAAAAATGTTGTGTTCTTGTTATCGTGCACCAATTACAATGCTGGTAGTCGGCGACTTATCACTTTTTTAAGATAGAGCTAAAAGTGCATCTAATGTTTTACGTATAATAATACGATTCAATGAGAGTTAACCAATAAAATTAAAATAACAATTAACATTTTTAATTTTGCTTAAAACGCTCGAGTACTTGAAGTCAAATAACGAACTACTCAGCACGGCCGCCCCTTGAGATTTAATATGGTCGCGCCCTGAATTCTAGCTCTTTTTTTTATGAGTGGATCTTTAATGAATAGATTATATAGTAACTACCACTGCATTTTTTTCTCGTGTATTGAAGTATATTTTTAAAAGATTTGTTTAAACAATTGCATTGGAAATTTTAATTTCTGAATGAATTTCAAGCAAATATTTGCACGAGAATTTGAAAGATCGATTTTACGTTTAAAATAAATAAATACATTTTTATTTATTAATTATAATTGTAATATTTAAATTATCATTCATAGAGCAGTACAATATGATACAAGTGAGGACTAGTACATTACGATAACTCGCTTCACTCGAGAGTAAACGGCACTTGAGACAAGAATCTTTTTGCTGAACATGTGTCATACCGCATTTTCCGATACAACCTACGGAAAGTGAGGTTCTATTCAACATACGCTTTTTGCCGAGCGTACGAGAAAGAAGTGCTTTGTGCACGTAATGTCGAAAAATTAGTTTTTATTTGTTTAATGACAAATTCAGCAGCTCCATAACATCAATTATTGACTTTTAAAATTGTGCAGACCATAATGGAATTTTATTCTTCTGAGAATTTACAGCAGTCAACCGAGAGAGAGAGAGAGAGAGAGAGAGAGAGAGAGAGAGAGAAATAAAATAAAATAAAATATTGAAAATATATGTACCGATATTTACTTAAACATTAATAGCTATTAAGGCATTTTTCGCTATGCCTATAGTGTATCCATATAGTAATACTATCTACACCATATTTTCTAAAGTACTGTGATTTTATTAGTTTTTTCACTATTATATATATATATATGGTATTCTAATAACGATGTTACCTTCGAAATATTTATAATGTAAGTAATTTACTGAAAATTTTGACGAAAATAAGTTTTTTTAACTCAACTGTTTCAAAAAAACGTCCTTGAGATAATGTAACTAAGTAGAACTATATATCTGCCGATGATATAGACTCTTTTTTCAAGTTTTGTTTAAGTTTATTGAGCAAACTTGATACTCATTAATGTGACGACCGATATAGATTGATTTTATAGTTAATTACAAACTAAATTCACGTTCATACTAGCAATGTGTATTGATGAATAATAAATAAGCGATATAATTACTTATTACTTACTGATAAATCCAAGTATAATCAGAGCTACAAGGTACGGAAGGTAATGGTCGAATTTTATCTTTATTGGCTTGCTAACGATTGCATATTTTTTACTTCTTTTATTTACAATGAATCATCTATCCAAACTTGATTTGATCCGTATTTTTGCTCTGGATACTTTATAGTATAGCTCAATATATTCCAATTTATAATATCATGGAATTTTAAACAAAGCAAAAAAGTGCACAATTAATTTGTACTTCGATTGCATTGATAAAATGAATTTCATAATTGAATGCTACAATTTTAAATATTAGATCTTTGCTTTGTTTACGTGTATATTTTTTTTAGAATGATAGCAGTTGTGTAATTCTAGATCCCTGACTGCTTACACTTGACAATAAAACAAAATACGATAAGTAGGAGTAAATACTAACGTCGTAAAAAATCTTATCTTTTCATTGTGACATAGCTTTTTAAAGAATTCAAACTTCATAAAATTACTTTATTTGAGCTATTTAATTCTCACAATGAGTAACTTTTTACTCTTTTTTAAAAGTCTATTATTCAAAATGAGTGATTTCTTATTAAAATGGAGTAATTGATTAATAATTACTTAATAATAATTTCTTAAATAAAATAATTTATTAGTCAATTTGAGTGTTCAATAGTAATTGTTGTACTTGAATAAAATAATAAATTACTTTGGTGATATGTGCTCTTGAAAAGATAAAAGAAGACAGCCAGATGGTGTATTGAAGTTATATATTTCGACATTTTTGGAAAACTTGATATATATTCGTCAGAGAAAAATTTGAAGAGCTGAAAAATTGGGTAATCTGAGGATAAAATGGCTGCTGCAAAACGAATTTGCCTTTGGAAATAATTTTTTCGTAGAGTTAACATAAGATCACAATGGCGTACAGCTATAGCACGCGGAAATTAAAAATCCAAGCATAGTTTTACATTGGGTACAGTCTGATATTGTGCTACCTAAGTTACTTCATTATCATTTTTCACACATATATATTATACATTTATATAGATTGAATTGGAAGTGGAGAGGGCTAACTCACAAATCCTCAGGACGTTCGCGTACGAAGATTTAATTCAGAAGCCATCACGTAGCGTCGCGGTCTTTTAGTCGGGATTGACTTTAATTACGTCTTACATAGCTGGGGGTGAATTGGTTAGGTGTACTACTGCCGAATTGCTGTGCGCGCGCGACTCAACGCAAGTGAAGGAGCGTACAGGATTCGTTAGACCCGGGGGACCTACGCTGCTCCTTGCCCCACGGCGCGGAGTTAGAAGCACCGAATTTCAACTGCGTGGATTTAACGTTAATTAATTTCAAGGCGATTGCACTTTACTTATTCGGACCGCAATGCTTCGGCCAATTTTCATGGTTAAAACTCATGATACGTGCGTATAATTAAGCGAGGAATTATTTCATAATATTGTGAATGAGTTTCGATTTCTTTGAAACAATATCTGTTATATTAATTTTACTGCGTGACCATGCAACTTTGATACATATATATATATATACAAATTACTGTACAAAAATAAATCTATTGTATATTTCGTTTCTTTTTAAAATGAAACATCAGATTAAGTAATTGGCTATTCCAAGCAGCTGTTTGATATAGATATATATGCAACCTTAAAATTCAAATGCGTCTTTACTGTTTTCTTATGAATAATGACATGGCGAAAGTAAATATTTGTTTGCTTAATCAATTTAATCTTTGTTGAGCTTATAAAATAAGCGGGTGCTAAGGATATTAACGATTGAAGAATTAAGATATTCATGAATGTAACGAATGTCCTCGAGCACTGAATTCGCATTTGAGAAATTAAATGCAAGTTCGCTGTGTGGGCATTCTCGTTGTACAGGATTTCCTATGGAGCACATGTAATTTGTTAATTTGTGTAAGCTCGTTAATGGAGCGTATAAAGGCGTAGATATTTTCTGAAAATGGATATATGAAAGAGTAAAAAAGTATAAAATGAATCGAAACTATGATTTTATCGATAAAGCGCATCATGCAATTGAATGCGACAACTATACGTATATCTCGAGCATTT